AGAATCGCTAAATAACGGGTAAAATTAAAATAATTTTTTAATCGCCGGCAATTACTGTGCGTCAGCTGGTGCGTTAAATTTGACATCCGCTGTCATAAATTCGCGATATATTGTGATAAATTTATAACCGATTCGCATTTGCATGTTTTTGATACTCGACGATTAATTACGTGTAAAACTTATCCCGTAGTTCATTCGAGGCCACTCGACGGAATATCACCTAAATCAAATTTCTGCATAATATTCACAAAAACACAACTGGCCAACTGATAATCCGCCGATGCTGGAAGAGGATTGCGAGCGCATCAATTATCTACTGCGCAACGTCCGGTAGCTGCCAGAAAACACGTAAAATGATATTAAGCCATTAATCCGCTGCGTTTCGTTTCTGACGTGATATCAGGGAGGATATATAAATATTATAAAAGAGCAATGATTTATATTATTATTGTTTTTTTTAATGACTTAAGCTGATTACACGCGGAATGCAAATTTCGAACTTCCTCGAAATCCAAAAAATCGTCTCGAAAGCGGATCTTCCGGCTGTACAACCGGTCATTTATATACCAGACCGCGAGAGCAATCACACACTCCATTAGGCAAAAATTCGCATAAAATTCAGCGGACCATCTCGGACACGGTACGAGGGCGTCCAATTTACGCCAAGACAAATGTCACGACATTTTCCACGGTAATGAAAGTGGAGGAAGCTTGGCACGACCGTTTTGTTTTCTTGCACGGCCGTATAAGGGCACATAAACAAAGATGGAGAAAACTATAACACTCGAGAGAGGGACGAAACAGCGAAGAAGAAACGGAAAGCAAACGAGAGAGTCGAAAAAGACAACGAGAGAGAGAGAGAGAGAGAGAGAGAGAGAGGACGAGCGTGGAGAAAGCGAGGCACCGTGAGGAAGAGAGCATGAGGGAGGAATTTCCTCGCCGCCCCCAGAATTCAATCACACCGTGTTTACAGCTCAGTACACTTAATCCTCTTTATTGGATCCAAAGCGTTTGCCGGTGCGGCGTATCTCAGAATTTGATCAATTTTATGGGCAAAGGATTTGGATGATACTTGCGGGCCAGCCATCTGTCTATTTCGGTCCTCAGCGAAATTATGTCGGTTCTCAAGACGACGTTAGCGATCTCGTGACGCGCCTGTTATCCTTGCAATCCTAATTCCGTTACGTACTCGAGCGGTCAACGGCGTCGCCGATGGCTGTCGCGAACACTCGGATTTATCTCAAGGATACATTTAATTAAATCAGTAAAGTATTACGGTCGCTGACAGATACACGAGCGCGCGGCCTGCTTTGTGACGAACTGGAAAATTTACACGCCGGTCGAGAATAAATCGCAACAATAATCGGCAGAAATAGACATCGATGTGAGACACTTCGAGAATGATATTGTAAGTGGCAAAAAATTAATTACTCTTTTTGCTCCTGAGACAAAGCTCAGCAAATATTAACAAAAGCTATTTTAACAGAGCATCTATTTGTCGCGCTACTCGCTGCATCTGTACCTCGATAATGGCTTCTAAATACTGCAAATATACGCAGACTATAAACGCAACTATTTCTCGGCGCTTTTTCAGTCCCCCTCCCCCCCCCTTTGCAGACGCACCAACTCGCGCGAAACGTTTGTGCGAACAGTTGAATTTGACGACAGGCTGCCAGACGTTTCCCCACTGAGAACTGCGAAATTGCAACCGGCCGGTTATCCAGAAAAGTAACGAGCCAAAGTGCGATAACAAAGCTCCTCCGCCCCGAAAGCGCACAGACGCATTTTCAAAACTGCTGTCACGTACAAAGCCCTCGTTTGTAAACTTACCGCATAATGATACGTTTTTATTTCCTTCCTTACATGTGTGCGCGTATGCACGCTCTCTATCCATCTATTTCTCTCTTTCTCTCTGTTCGCGTGGCAGCGGCGGCAAGGGTCGAAGATAGTAATAATTAGTGGAACATGAATCGCTAAATTCCGCGTCGCGGGTCGATAAAATGCTCGCGACAGTGCATGCGACGAGTGATTTACATACCGGCACGGCGAAAATATCCTGCAACGTGGTGTATATCGACGTATTCTGAGACTCCCGGGCATAAATAACCCCCCTGAAAAACGGTCAGAAACGATGCGTCGTATCTCACGTTTGAAAAGTGTGTGTAGGGGTGTAGCTCGCGCGATAAATTACACTTCATAATGTTAACCGAGCGAATACCGCCGCACACTCCATCCCCGCGCTTTTATTAATGCAGAGAGCTCGAGTGTATTGGAATATACGCGATTGCCCGGGCTTGTCTTGCGCATCGACAAGAGCCCGAGACATTTTTAAAGCGTTCCACTCGCTTTGATGTAATAATGCGGGAGGATCTGACAGAATGGTCGACTGTGCTCTTAAAGGCGAACCTCCTATTCTCCGATACGATCCTCCCGGATCCGTCCCGGGGTGATCCATCATGGATAACAAGAATGCCGTTCGGACGACGTTTGGATCTCCGTAAAACTCGAACGCTTAAGTTGTCGCAGTGAATATCGCGGATTCGTCGCTGGATTCGTCAACGAAACCAAAGATAGCCCGATGGTGGTGACCGCTTGTTCATATCCCATCGCTTCGCGATCTGATCGATGAGATTCCGCCTAATGACGTCACCGAAGACGATTATCCTTGTTACGGACTAGCCTCGATCAGCCTTACGAATATCGAGCAAAACAATCACCACCGAACCACCTGTTACACGCGCTAACTTTTTATAATTTCATAAAGAGGCAACTCAATTTACACACTTAGACACTTATTTAGCATTTTACGTAGCTTTATTAGAGCGATAATATATATTATGAGCGAACTTCAAACTCTTCCCGTCCGCTGAAAAGTCGCATGCGCAACTTTTCTTACCTCAGGATGCAGGCGGTTTTCGGGCGAACCGATTTTGCGAGAGCCGCTACTTAATTAATTAAGGTAGGATTGGTACGAGGTTCTTGTGTACGGAATGCGCTCCGGACAATATCCAGATTTTTCAAAGCGTCTAACGGCTGGGTAAACCCTCTCTAATCCGTTATTTTACGATCGTACGTTTTTCGATCGCACGCAGAAATATATATTAGTTCTCTAGCGCGAAAGTGGGGAGAAGTTATTTCATGCCGAAGCAGAACGATATAATTATCCAGAGAACTCTCGCGGAATTAAAATGTAAACGAAGTTATAAAAAGTGCGATAAAGTTAACGATACAACCACTCGGAGACCGTTAAGAAATGAGTCCCCGCAGTATCGCACTTTTTGTTCGGTTCACGAGAGCCGCTCTCGCATACGTAATTTCACGAATATGAAACAATTTCGATCTCTCGGAAGTTCCGCCGGAACTGTCAAGTGCGGCGTAAAACGGAATCAGGCGATAAACGCGTCTCTTCCGCGAGGGAAAATACGCGCCGGCGATGCGCGTCTGAAATTGCACAACGACGCATCGGCATCTGAAAACTTCTTCAATAAAGCAAGAGAAAAGAAGATATTCAGCATCCGCATGTTACATAAACTGTGCGATGCACTCTCGAAATTTTACGATCCGCTAAAACGATGTCACCGTCGTTATTCCGTTCTGTCTATAAATCGATTCTTTATGCGGCAATCTAAGCCCGCCGTTTTCGCATTTCCCTTTATCGTCGAAGCGTCCCGCTTGTGCCACGCGAAAATTTCCACTTGCAATACTTGACGTTGTGCCGCGCGCGCGTTTGTTTAAAATAGCGTAGCGATTTTAGGTTCGACAATGGCCGGCGTTGCGCGCTCGTTCGACTGCGATTTTCACGCGCGCGCGCACGAGCGCGAATATCCTATGCGAGGGTGAGAGTACGTCACGTACCATTTGCGACACTATGGCACCTGTAACCGCAGATGGCAGTTTTGTTCATAATTTACAGATAAAGCGCAAAATCAAATCACCACAAATCTACGCGCTCTCGTAAACGTCACGGACAGCCGAAGAGTGGTGAATGAAAAAAAGGGGTGAGAAGGGAGGGGAGCTCGCGACGAGGGCAATGAAATGAATTATTCGTCGCACGACTTGCCGCGGAACAAATCGCAACGCGTTAAAACCATAACATAAACCGAGCGTCGAAATTCCTGTCACGTCAGCTTTCACAATTAGATCCGTCAATTATCGTGCAAAAACCGATCGCAGTTCGTGTTAATTCCTGATTCCACTAATTCATCGGCGAAAATGTCCATGCATAGGCAAACGACCCGCGTTCCGATCACCGGTAGTTTGCTCTCGCGTTATACAAAAAGACGCCGCGTTATCGATGTTTCATTCGATTAAAGAGAAGAGGATTGTGAGCTACAATCTATTCCTGCCCGCTCGTTCTACTCTATTACAAATCTTTTTGTATATTTCAACTTTTCATATAATTCACAATCCTTTACTAAAAGAACATATATCGATTTCAAACGGATACTCGACGATGGTGCGATAAAAAACCAGTGAATAACCCGTTCAACAATTGATTTTTCTCGTATCCGATGACGACTTCCGTTAAACCTGATCATATATTAGCTTGAAAAACGAGAACAGAGTCTCGCTTTCGATATTGACTCGGCCGAGGGAAAAATCAACCGTGTACGAGACGAGCTTCCGAGGAGAGCGAGCTGATTCGCTCCGAATCACGGAGGATCGCAATGGCTCGCACGCACGTAAGTGGGATCTTCGATCCCACCGTCCCATTATCCACGCACCACAGGTACTACCCGCGCGTGTATCGGAGCGGAGAACACGTACTACCGCGTCACAGACTTCACGAGCGTATCACAGGCGTTGCGCGATCTCGGGGAGCTCTCACGAACAGCCAGCCAGCTAAGCGATAGATGCTTAACGAGCGACGTAATTAACAGCTCCGGCGCACCACAGGTGTCATCGTCTACGCGGTTTCCCGGCACGCGCGACGAGCAGGAGATACTCTCAGAAGCGGGACCGGGCGAATGATGATGCGCGCAAATAACGCGTCTACTCACCGACAAGCTCCGTACGCACGCCGACCAGCAGGGTGGTCACTACCAGAAGGGGCACCTGTCGTCGGCGCGGGCACACGGTACGTTTCTCACCCATGATCGTCGTCGCGCGTGGAGGCAGTCGCACGCGTATAGCGCGACGAGGGTAGCGCTGCCGCGTCGAGACTGAAGTCCTGACCTGCCGCGAAGCTACGTATATCCGGCGCGCACGAGGCGAAGAACCCCCTCTCTATCGCGCGCGGCACCCCGTCGCGAGACCGAAGGGGTTGCGCGCCGTTCACCCCCACCGGCCGGTTCATCCCTCTTCGACGTGCCGCGACGCGAGGAGGATCCCCCTTCGGGTCCGCGTCGGGGGGCACCACCGAGTCGCGCCGACGCTCCCTTGACCGGCCGACTGGCTGGCTGGCTAGCTGCCTGGCTGGCTGGCTGGTCGTGCGCGTGGCAAAGCTTTGCTTTGAGTTACGCTGACACACCTGGATTTACTTAGAGCCTGGTGATTATGACGGGACGACGAGAACTACGCTAAGCTCGCTTCTCTCTCTCTCTCTCTCTCTCTCACGTGCGTTCTCTAGCAGTCAGACTTATTTTATGCGCCACTACAGGTGCGCGCGAACTGTTTTCCCTCTCAGCCGAGAGACGTTAAAACCGAGACGCGCGAGCAAATAGAAAAAGTAACGCGCCGATCTGAAGAGCGAGCGAAGCGGTAATCCGGTCTCTCTTTTTTCCTATTTTCCTATCTCTCTCTCTCTCTCTCTCTCTCTTTCAGTATGTCTCGATAAGAGGTCCCGTCGAGACCGGAGGAAATAACAGATGTCGGAGAGGATGAAAATGTCGGGGCTGACTTGTTAATCTGATTTATAACGCCCACAGCTCAAAGATATCCAAGAGCACGTGCGCAGCCGGATTTATAATTCGAGTTAAATTATATTTACTTTGTCGAAGGAAAAGGAAGAAAGAGAGAGGAAGCGGGAAAGCGCAGAGCGCCCACGTACATTGCGCCGCGAGAGGGGCACGAATGTGGAATATTTACGTAACGCGATGCAGCGCGAAATGATTTAAATTCTACACTGACACTACATCTCTCTCTCTCTCTCTCTCTCCTCTCTTTTCGACGCCGGCATAAGAACGGAATCGATGCCACTCCACGCGATGAAACATTCAAATCTGAAAAGAGTTCCCTCTGCGACGCGCTGCACAAACACAAACAAAAAGATCCCTTGCCCGTGTAAGTAGGCGACTAGCATCGAGGGTGAGTTTGCTTTGAAGTTACATTATATTTGCCTAATGCGGGTCGATCACTGCGAGATGAAAATTAAGCTGTCGCGTTTTGTGCGCGATCAAACGGTCGCATGACGCGACGAAAGGTTAAGAGGTATTCGCGTCTCCGTTTCTTTCTCTTTTCGCGATCGAATAATTTTGAACTTTATTTATTTCGAGTTGGACGATCTCGTTGAATGCACGAGGGGCCGTGTAAAATCGTTTTCAACTGCATGCCGGCTATGAATAAAAATTAAAATATCGATTTCAGTTCGTGCGTGTTATTTTTAATCTATAAAGGTGTCATCTTCGAATATGACTGGAAATATCCATGTGCAGCCTCGCACGGTGTGTTGTCGCGCAAATATTTTACCGCGTCGATAAACCGATCTCCCGGTAGTCGGGATCGCGAACATCAAAATGACTTACGTTTATGCCCGTTAAACGGTACGGTGAGAGAACTGCGTGAGGAAAAGTGCGTGGAATATTCGCGAATGAAGAGGAAGGAACGACCGTGCGCTCGATGCGTCGGCCACATGAGCGAATAAAATTTCCGACGGATACGAGCCTACGTTCGATTGCTCCGTTCGAGTTACCCTGCTGACAGTGCGCTATCAAAGAAAATCTCGTCAATCGTCACACGTGTCACGGACGCAGGTATCCCAGCTCGACCGCGGAAACCGTAGATTCTCGGCCGGAGAATAATCGGCTCGTCGTCGACGACGACGACAACAGCGAAACGCAATACATTCGACGACTGTTTCAATTACTCGCGAAGGAGGATCGCTCTCCCTATGTCGCTCGCGATCGGCTGCGGATACCGGTGTATCAAATCAGAAGTTAGTTTTCTTTGCATCAGACGCTTGTATATTTTACTTAAATTGCCCGACGTGGAAACTCGACGGTAACTACGGCAACTATTTCAAGCGCAGCCGATAAAGGAATCCGACGAGTAATTGGAAAAACCGGCGGGCGAAACTTTAGACCATCGATTCGTGTACACAGATTGGAGGGCCAGCGGTATATAAAAGGGTCGACCCTGCCGTGCGCGCACTCAAAAGTAGACTATCTCGAAACTTTATTTCGCCGTAGTATCGCTATCGGCACGGAGCGCCGCGGGAAGCGTCTAGGAACCCGAAGACGCCGTATTACGTAATTCTATCGGACGTATCCACGCGGTGTGGTAGCAACGTCGGGGTGATGTACGATCCAACGAAATGTGCATGAAGGACACTGTATCACGGGGCCCGATGATATATCCCCTTCAACGCAACCTCGGCACTCACCCGGCAAGCATACTGCGCGCAGCTCTCCTCGACTACACGGCTGGCTCCTCGGCCTGACTGCTACACAACCACTGTCGCTCGATTACACACATCGTCGATTCGCCTGGAGGCTCCTCAAGTTGCCCGGTGTTACACACATCGCGTTCTGATACCCACGTGTGTGTCTGAACAAGTCTGACGTCTGACTATTGCACGCATGATATCCAGCACGCATAAAATGCCGTTATGTAAATTCCCGGGCGGACGCGGAAGTTACGAAACGTATTCTCACGTGTACAATGTCCGAGAACGAGGACGCGGCGTAGGTATACACGTGTGTATATGTGTGTGCCGCTGTGCTATCCTAGGACAACCTATAGCTATTATAATCTAATTCGCATGCGCGTTCGTTCGATAAGTTCGATAAGTCGTGATTTCGAAGCTCAGCGCGATTTACCGCGTCGGCCATCGAAGATGCGTTCCTGTTTCGTCGAGATCTTCGGATCACTGCGAACCGAGATCGTTGCATCTTGAACTTCATCGGGCTCCGAAATCGTCATTCGTTTCGAACCAATTAACACGACCCGACGCCAAAGGTAAGAACATATCGCGGAACCGATTTTTCCACTTTTAGCAATTTCTATGCAAACGTACGCGGACGATAATCGATGGTTCAATTTTGTCTCTATCTTCCATCAGGTCGAAGACAATGGCTGTCCGTTTTTCCGACAAATTTTTCCCGCTACTCTCTCGTACCGTCTCGCGCGCCGGCGAGCAGTGATCGCCGCGCGGTAAAAATTTATCGTGGAAAATTGAAGTGCCACGGAATAATTGCTCGATCAGGAGCGATCGAGATTCCAGATAGCAAGCCCAAACGATCGAGCCACGCGATAGAGCCCGACCAGATTATTGCGTGCCGTTCTAAGTTCCGAACCCGTAGGACTTTCACGAAAGTGTAACCGTTCCCGTCGATTACGATTTTCCGCCCAACTTTTAATCTGCGGCCTTCTAACCCTGTCCTCCTATTAATTCGATATTAAACTATCCACAGTGTAGATTTCAAAAGATTCTGTGGCGTCTCACGCACGTACGAGCAGCGCACAGCGAGACTAAATGTGTATATTCACTCGATTAATCGTGTACGAATTAAAATTTATGTATATGCGCGCATTTTTAATATTCATATCCGGATTATCCGGATAATCCGCATGCGCGGACTTGAATAGTAGTGTACAACGCGATAATAATTTAATGTATCAAAAAACACTTACCTCGATGCTACATTTGTCATCGGGATGCGATTGTCGAACTCCGCCGGGTCTGAAACAAAATGTAATTTTTCTGATTAGTGATAGCAACGGAGGACAAGCTCGAGGTTGTCCTACTAATTTTTTAACGACAAGGTGAATATTCAGAACGTGTAAAATGAAGTCAGATTCAACTCCGTGCTCTCTTTTGTTCATTTTTCACATAATCATTGTATAAAATGTACACAAGAAGTAAATAATAATATAAAATTTGTCTCTCTATTTATGGATGAAAAAAATACAATAAAGTTTACCAATAAAGTTTACCAACTTTAAATCATTACAGTAAAACGAAAAATACTTTGATAAATTGCCTCAGTCTCAAAGTATTTAATATGTTCATAATAATGAATATATAATTATTAGGTTAATATAATTATTAAATTAATATAAGTAATCAAATTAATATAATTAATTAAATTAATATAATTACAAGTATTATAAAATTATTAGAAAAACTTTGCAGCTCTGTATGATAGCTGAACTCAGCTGTCAAAAGGAAAGTTAATAATAAAAAAAAAACATCCACACTCTAACCCAATCTTTCCGTTAGAGGGTTAAGAACACAGAAGCTCGAGTGTATATTGTAAAGTAATTCAACTAAATTGTAGTAATCACTCCTGAAAATCAGGATGTTGCCGTTGCTCACACATGTGAAGTGTCGTAATTTATGCTCACAGAGAGAGCGTCGATCACAGTTCTGGCAAATTTAGGAAAGTTGAGAAAAACACGCGACACTCCCCGGTGTTTTTACTTTCTCGTCAAAGACTGTTATGGTTGAGAGTGCCGTGACTACGCGTGTATTTTCTGTAAGTCATATGACTTTCGGCGCGCCAAGTAATAATCAGGTGGAGGAGAGGGAGGGGGGGATTAGAGAGCGCTATTACATATTCTATTTACATTTTGATTGTACGACGGATTATATAACATTAATATTAAAAACGTCTTTATTAATATTATACTTTATATTAATACCGTGCACTAGATTATACGTTGTAACTGTTCAACGAGCGTTTTAATAACGTTCGTCCCATCTTTGCACTCGATTAAGCTACTAATTATGAAGATTATTGAGAAGTCGAGAGTCACGACAAAATAAAGTATCCGGGATTTTTATTATCGTTCCATTTTTTTTTATCGCCGCCAGTATAAAATTATCGGAGAATTATCGTGCGTCAGCTTTAACGTTTCCTTAGTGTACAAAATTTTTCATTGCTCACCGATGTCTTCAGGTTAGTCCTCTTATTATTATTAAATATTATTAAACGTTTGACGTCCTGTTGAGCTTCTATATAAATCGCGCGGCAAAAGATGGTCAATCGTTGGGAATAAAAGGGTTTAATAAATGTTACGGTAATACGCAAAACACGCCATGATGGCGGAAAATCTTCATGCCGCACGTCCCCGAGCAGGACATCCCGCGAGCTGTCATAAAATATACAGACTGCATAAAAAAATCGCGCGCGTTTACCGATTGCACGATTTCCTCGGCAGATTCTAAATCGTTCCTTCATGAAATATTTAACTTTCTGTCGTCAATGTTGAATTTAGCATCTTCCATGGGCAATCTGGGCCATTGAAGGAAATATATGTTTTTACATTATTCCAGGAATATTGTATAAAAATCTAAAAAATTGCTCGTATGTTTGTGAAAATTTTAATAACAAGCTTTAACAATCGTAGAAATCGGATTGCATTTTATTTATTCTTCGGAAAGTAAAATCGGAGTAGTGTCGCTCGCTTCGCCCGCTAAATAACAGTGCATTCATCGGGAAATCTACAAATCGGCTCTCGGTCAAATATTTCACGATAATGTCGCCAAGAACGCGCGAGCAGACGCCTGTGACCATGTCGCCGGCGACAAGCGCCGTGGCACAAACTCGTTTTGACGCACGCGATCCCGAAGTTTCCATTATGATACTTCCATACGGGCCGTACGAACGCTCGTCGGGACGAGCAATTCTCGTGCCTACGAGTCGCTACGTCAATCAGTCGCCTTTACGAGCGCGGGTTATACGGTTCATGGAAAAGAAACATTAACGTCCTACTCTCTCTCCCTCTCTCTCTCTCTCTCTCTCTTCCCTGATTTTGCCCTCGTCTCCGTGCCCATCCGAGGCGATTGGTAATCTGGCGATTTTCTGACTGCAGATCGTTGCGTCTTTATTGCTTCTGATTGCATAATGACGTAATGGGAGTAGCACAAAGTTGCAACGTCTTTTATGGCGTTCTACGCCGGGGACACGGCGAATCCCGACGCGGATCGATCGCCGATGCGATATTTGTGGTCCACTTTGTAATATGACGCGAGTTACGCAACCTCGGCATATTTTTTCTCGCAGCGTGGCGCGATGCGGTTCAGCGGAGAAGTTAATTTACTTCTATGCAAATGCCCGGACGCGCTCTTCCCTGTTTCTCGTTTAATTAGATTTCTCGCGTGAAGATCGTGGCGGAACGGAGAGAGCCTGCCCGTCAGGTAAAATTCTCAAATGAATCTCACCCTCTTAACGAACGCGTTTACTATCAATTCCGCGTGACACCGCTCGAGTGGCGAGTCCGAGATATTAATAATATTAAACGATATGCGAACACGCGTTCGAATATCCGACGCGAATCTTCGGAGATTTTCGTCCTCTTCCTGCACGCCAAGAGTTCCCGCTTTCCCCCCGAAACCGAGAAATGGAATCGGACCGGAGGCTTACGGACGAACTGTCGGTATCAACGCGGCGGAACAATGGGACGAGGCGAGAGGGGTCTTGAGTGATCATTCGACATCAGTTAGAAACGATTTCGCCGCGGCAGATTTCTCGCTCGTGGCGGCGTAGTTAGTCGCGGGGCAAGCCAGACAAATGTTCAGTCGCCCTTTAAGGGGAGACGTGGAAATGCGACGTGCGAGTACCGGTAAGTAAGAATAAGTGAAGCCAACCAAGTCGCTGGCCGCGTTCCCTCGAATCCTTCCAAACAATACGACGAGAACGACGGAGCGCTTGTCGTTGGCGTATGTAAAATTCGCTGCCACCTAGAACAGCGCGTTACCAGGTCGTCTTCGGCGCTCCCTCCGGCCTTCCTAAGCTGCTGTCATTTTTTATCAGACGCCCGAGGTAGACGCGCATAATAACGCCGCGAGTTTCGAGAACCGCGACGCGATTCGCAGGACGAAACGCGAACTCTGCAGGTACGTGGCTGCCGGGATCGCGCGACGCCAAGTGCGGAGGAGTAATTTTTAAGCGTGACAAATGACGGTGGATGCAGTTTGGGAGTAAAGGTTGAATGTTTCTATCAGCGCATGCACGACGCGATACATATATGTGTGTGCATGCAATACCCGTCATTCTTCCTCGAGCGTTCTCTGCTCGCGACGTTTCTTTCTATATTTCTCAAAGGCGACGAACGTTCTATGGAAATTTGTAGCTGCTACTCGAAATCAGGTGAAGCGGGCATCCGTGTGATTCGAGCGTATAGGGATTTTATTGGATTCCGTCCTACCTACTTTTATTGGCTCTCTATGATCACGACGTCCCCTTTGAAGACCAACGTACACACAGTCGCGCATAAAAATACGTATAACATGCGAGTACTTAAATATATCGTGCCATCTGACTTGCCGTCGATCTTAAATGCCGAGGCATCCGGTCCGGTTTACTGAGCTGTTTAATTCGGCGACGGGAAGAGGAACTTTGAGACGTCTACCGCGAACAAGTCGGAAAGCGTAAGTCGCCCCCTCTCTCTATTTCTCCCTCTCGCGCGTCTTTACATACCAGATGTGATGTGTTTAACGGAAATGCAAATTGCGAAAAATTCCGTCCTCCCGTAAAAGCAAAGTGTGTGTGTGTGTGTGTGTGTGTGCGCGCGCGCAAGATGTAATATTTACAGTAATTTGCACGTCGGATAATTATTAGATTATGCTAATTAACTGAGAGTGAGCGCGAGTATGCGCGTTTAATTTAAAATCGAATTAAATTCTTAATTGAGAAATTTGTTAATTACATCGTATCGTGGAATTTGAAACGATTTCGTGTGATAAGTGAATTGATATTTGTCAAGTGTTCGACCATGAATACAATCAATTATGCTTCTAACACAGAGACTCTAAAACGGTCCGCGATGTATCCAACAATCGTACGCGTGCTATCACAGCGGCTAATTTCACGCTCGCTGGCCAAATTCTTTTTGGAAGAAAGGGGAGATGTTCGGTGACGATCGATCGCGCTAACGACGAACGAAATTGCGAAACCGTAAGCCAGCTTCTCGATAATACGTGACGAAATGCAACGCTATTAAACTTTACCGGAATGTCCAGAACTCACTCGGAGCCGGCTGTCTGAGAAGAACACGGAAGCGGAAGTGGGCAAGAGGCAATACACCGACGGTCGTTTGCGAGGAAATGATGTTATTAACGGGATAAAACATTCCCTCCCGAAGTTTATTTGTATGAAGTTATAATTGCAGTCACAGAGAGAGAGAGAGAGAGAGAGAGACGCGGTGGTCTACCGGTGTTACGGAAACGAACGTGGCCGAGGGGAGAGAGAAGGAGGATTCGCGGCAGAGTAATCGGAGGATTAAGCCGGGAGACCTGCGCGCGATTTTCGTCGGGAAAACCGATCTTTTTCCGCGGGCGACGTAACTGTGCGAGCAACGCGCATCGTACGTCGTGCGCGACATCTTTTGTTAACGTGCGTTGCCGCATCGCGTATCCGGTGCATATGCAGTCTTTCGTGTTCATCAGGCACGGAACAACGCTCGCTTCGAGGGGGAAATTAATTGGAACGTCAACGCGACGAGCTGGTGTGGCAAAATCGCAACACCACAGCCGGTTAATAAATGTCATAGTCCGCGCTTTTTACTCACTTTTACGGGTATTGCGCTCCAGCGTGATTGAAAAAGGGAAATAAACAAATAAAGACAAATTAGAAGGAGGGGAAAAGAATAGAAGGGAAAAAAATAGAGCGAAAACGTACGACGAGAAAGCTCCATATTCGCGATGTATCCACTTCCGGGGCGGGGAACGCGTTTCTGACCGTGAATCGAACTGGCTACCGATAAAGGAGGGAAAAAACGGCCAGCCTGCGGTCGATGGGCAAGATACAAGGCAATATCGATTGAATATTAGGATCTGCGGGGCATGCGGAACCGGCGCACACACATTAGCCTCTTTGACTTGCTAAATAGGTTAATTTGAATGTTTAAATTCCGGCTCCGTGCAACTCAATTTGCGAGAGGACTCCGCGTCTAGTTAATTCCTTTCCTTCGTCCCGCGAACCATCCCCTGCTACCACCTATCCCCCTCGCCGGCATCAACCACCGCCGAAGCCACCACCTCCACCTGGACTGTTAACTTCCTACACATTTCTAGCATCCGACATACGGAACGTCTAACACACGCTCTCTTCCTCCCCACCCCCGTCCCCTTTAACTCTCTTTCTCTCTGTCTCACACCCTGTTTCTTTCCCTTTTAAACCACGTGGTTTCTCTATGTCGCTTAATTGGAGAGTATTATTTGCGCTCCGCTACGTCTGATCTTTTACGCATTGTGACTTTTCGATTGCCAGCTTCGCCAGACGCGACAAAAAGGAGGTCGGAGTGCAAATGGAGATTCGGATAGCGTTCGTCGCTTAACATAATTCGCGGCGAACACAATAGCGGATCTGGGAGAAAACGGTGGAAAATACGATGGAAATAATGAAAACGCAGGTATATTATAAAATTTACGACTGTCGAGCCGGTATACGGTCAGATACGATTGTATCGTGGGAAAACGTTTCCTTTGCAATGCTAATTATTATACATTATTGAGCATTTTTCCACCTATAATATAATGGATGGAAAAAATCTCGTCTTGGAGGCAGCGCCTTCTTGATCAAGATAGCCTCGACGCTTTATCGGGTAGAATGATGCATTTCTGTTTTGCTTTTGATGTATAATGACCTCGAGACGAATTTTGATTACGAATAAACACAAGGTTTGTGCGCCCTATAGCGTCAAGTTCGGGAACTAACGTACGGTTTCGGGGATTATCTATATAGGAGACGTCAGATTCAGTATAATTCATTTGTTATCGGATAATAAAATCGCGAGGATATATTTTTTAGTACATTAAACAATGTGCATACGCGATGATTTATTGTTATTTAAAATAGCTTAATTAATGTATATATCAGGTCGTTTCGACTATGATATCTGTAATAATCGAACTCATACATGATTATGTTATAATTATGATATAACATTGCGGTAAATGTTTCAACTAGCTTGTTCACAATCTTGCAATCTTTACAATCTTGAGGGCAGTTTGTTCAGCATTCTCCGTCTCTCAATTTGTAATAATCTGCGTGAAATTCGAGATAATTAATTGTAACTTTCAATAATTATTCTACTTTGCAACAATATGATCAAAAGGTTATTGTTTAATAACTGAAGAATATACATCGCATATCTTACAAATATATTAACATACGCGTTCATTAGAATAACGTTTTCAAAATGTCACTGACAAAAAAATGTATTGTTACTATTAAAATTAACTTTTTTTCGTTTACTTACTAAGTCTATACGCAGCAATGATATATTTTTTCTCATCATTCTTCTTAACTTCCACCACTCGATATCTCGTGCAGTAATTGTAACATAACATGTGACAGACGCTTGGGAACGTGCGATCGTTAAAATCGCGACTCGTGGCGCAAATTGTCCGATTACCATCACCGTCGCTATCCTCCTCATACATGACTCGCCACGCGAGAGTAGTCGTCTCCTCTCCTGAACCTATCACTTTTTTCTCGTCACAGTACTCGCAATTACACGCGACTGCATCTTCGATGCTCGTTGTGAAGCACAGTCCAAAAATAGGCACTGCATATGGAATGGAAGAGTTATTTACGTTATCGAGATACACTCAAGTTACCTTTCATGAGATCTCTATAATTTTAATTGAATAAAACACAGATCTTCGGATTTCCGATCTGAAGCCAAGTTGATTCGTAAACTGTGTCAAAAGGAAATTTATGCATAACAACTTTTATGCAGAAGTTTTCAACTGAATTAAAAGCACGAAGGAAAAGTTTTCTTAGAAGAAGATTTCTACGTACCTAATACAATTATGATGTCCCGTGATCGCATGTCTAAAATCGAAACGGTTAAAAGAAACCACGATAACGTCTGATACAGATAGACTGTCAACTTGCTAAGTATGATCAAAACTGATGCTTCGTTAAATACCGAACGACGATAATCATTTGACATGCAGTGCTGTATCGAAAAGTCTCGCGTGCGTTTTACGAAATCGTACGATTTCGATGCTAAAATTGTAAAATTTTTTACAGAGCAAGAGTGAGCAAAAGTGAACTTCTTTTCCTATTACATAAATTCAACGTGTAATTGCGTAGTAAATTATATTCTGACATAATTAATAGCTTGTTAAGCTTAAACGCATTTCTTAACGAATGCAGGCGCTTGTAGTTTTAACGATTAACTAGGGAACTATAAGTGACGGGCACATAACTGCCGGTATATCGGGAACATCAGCACACTGACCTCTGATCTCTTCAGAAAGTAATTTAATACGCGTACACATCGGCATCATTACAGCAACGTGATGTCGTGAAAATAACCATTATTATCGTCTACTTCCGCCATATTCTAACGTGGCATTAACACTGCGTGCGCCGTGCTGGATTATAAAATTAATTGAGAAATGGATAATTGCGTTATGCGTTCTGCGCGCGGCCTTACAGTTATTTTTTCCGCTGAATCTGGCTTTAACGTTTCAGAACTTGGAAAAAAAACGAAGCACGGAATATTTTCACAATTTTTTAAATCTAAACGAGCAAGACGTCAACGAGCGGGTTACGGTTTTAAGCTATTTTACACACATGAATATTTATAGTTTCGAATTTGGTGAGTTTTATAATATGATATATAACATTTCGTTGCACTTTTAAATTAAAGAAGTTATGTTAAATACGCATTATGAACATCGAGAGGATTATTCAAAGCGAGCTTGCATAAGGAAACGTTTCGTTGTTATTCGCCAGAGTTTTCCGCAAATTCCTTCAAACATGGCCTTCTTTTTTCCTTTAATATAAACGGTCTCTTTGAAAGGTGCCGACTGTCGCCGCTACTTCCACGGCACTCACGTTATCGCTTTTATGCTAATTACCTACGGGAGGAAGGTAATGCACAAGGTGATACCCACGCGAGTCAAATGAGACAGTAGTCCCGAGCTCTTTTCTTCTAACACTCGAAAAAGAACGAACAATAAATATTAAAGTCGCTACTGTGTGTATGTATATATATTTCCACGCGGTAATGGCTAAATTGTCCCGCGATATTAAATTATTAAAAATTAGCCGAAAAATCGACACGGAAGAAGAATGCGACGTACCCGAAAGAAAACGTAAAAATAATATGTCACTTATGTTACAGTATATCTTCCACGGAATCGATTAACCTCATTTCTAATTAATTGAAACTTCTGGAACAGGTATATCTATTCTAATTGAAAGCAGCAATGCGAAAGAGGGCATCTGGGAGAGTTCGCAATCCCAGATATCTACTGTGTATAATCTTTTAAGTACAAGTGGATACCCCTTACTGACACCTTAAATCTCGGAAGTCTATTGCCATGACAATAAACGCCGGGACCGACAGCTAACAATTATATAATGTCCTGACTTATGGACTAATTTGCATTTTAATCCAACTAGCTCCATTGTTGCTCGCTATTGTCAGTCGAATGCTCACATTGCGCGCTTGAGACGGCATAGTTCGAGAGAAGTCGAAAGGGAATAAGGTCATCGGCAATTTGAAATATGAGAAATATTCCAATTTGCCGAGACGACGTAATTCGTCCTTTTCTCCTCTCGGCATCGTTCTCTCGCGGAGCACTTTATTAAAGACGCGTCCTGAGATCTATCCGCGAAATCGTCCGGCGACGCGATTTGGTGGCTTACCCGCTCGCTAATTGATAATCATTCGCACCGATACTTCAACTTTAACTCAACGCGCGAATGTGACAGCTGATACCTCCCATTACAAAAATGGTCAACCAACCCATCGATTAACGGCCATCATCGGTTATTTCTTCGTCAGGACGAGGAGATTTATTCTGCATGACGTTTAATCCATTTTTCCAGTATAACTCTCTCAAATTAATGGAGTAACCTTTTTTTAGTGCAAAAATAAAAAAAATAAAAAAAGGAAAAATTGTTTTGTGTCAATCATTGTTGTAGTGTCACAATGTACAAATGTTTGCGGCCGTCAGTTTACAGGTCGTTTTATAAGCATCGAAAACGATATTCGAGAATTCGATGGAGCGCAGAAGTGGCGGGCAACATAGGGATGGCGCAAGAGACTAGTTAAGGGAAGGGGACCACGGAAAATTGTCAATCAGTGCGATCCATCTGGACTTGATTACTGCTCTGCCGTTGTGCTCATAGCCGGCTCCGTGCCTCAAAATCGCCTGACCGGATTTTTATGCCGTATTTTGCGCGATAGCCAGTTATTCGTACTGGTTGTAAATATTTGTCCTTTTGTCTCCCGGCGAGATCTTTTATTGTTTTATCCGCGCGTTGTTCTTTTAATCGTGTTACCGCGTGTACAGTCTGTACTTTGTAGTGGAAAAAAGCAAATTCTATTCAAAAATTTGCAGAGTGTTTAAAGTTCGCTGCGAATTTTGGACGTCCCGCGACTGATAATACAGTCAAAAAGTGCGCGATTTTCACGTCGTTTTAAGGACGACTCGATAATTAATCATGAGAATTGCAAAAATTAACGACACTCATCCTTTCTCTCTCTCTCCCTCTCTCTTATTTTAACATTGTCACCGCTCTTCAATTCAACTAATTTAATTTATCAAATGGAGCGCGAAATAAAGTTTCACTTCTATTGTGAGAGAGCGTGAGTGCGAGCGCTGAATTGTGCATACACACACACCGCCGTCGAGCGTATTTACCACTACATGTGTCAAAAGTGATGCTCTAGCTGTTATTTTTGTCATCCAATCCGCACTCCCAGCTAGATTCTCCCTTCATTTTGTTGCATTCACGTTTTCATCTACCTCGTGCTTGTCCAGCACAGCCCAAAGCAGTTGAACCGAGTCAGAGTTCAATCAAAACCAATATGTCGCGCTCTCATGCGAATACACACCGCGATTTCTGCGAAAAGCCCGTTTGTGCGCGTTTAAACGTGCATAAAGTATTTGGAATTTCCCTATAAAACGCGTCATTTTGAGCGCGGGATGATATCGAGGTCTTTCGCATGACTTATACACATATATATATATATATATTTTTTTTTTTTATACCGGCGAGAGGAGCAAGGGAAATGAGCGAGAAGATTTGGATAACAAATTTATAACGCGGAATCTATTCTAACCGCTTAAAATACAAATCTCATTTCCATGATAAACGGCCGGAAATATCTCAGCGCGTATATATACGAATGATAAAGTGAAAGTAAAGCGTTAAATGATAAAACGCGACATTTCGCGGTGCGTCGGCCTGACGATATTAGTTTTGCACAAGTTTCCTCCGCTTCGCGCTGTGCACGACATTTCCGACACGACGGCGAAATTATATGGTTAAACTGCATTATGGGTACAACGTATGGCCGGCCATACATCATACTTCGATGAAGATAAGGGCCATAACTTTTCGCAGTGTTACACACTGAAGTGCGCATTCGAGCACGCCCGAATAAATTTCCGCTGAATTGGGGATTAGAAATCGATTGTGTAGTAAATTTTATTTTCGGCAAAATACGCGAGTCCGGACAAGAAGAGTTGAGGGGAAAAAACGCACGACCGATGGGCCGACGCGCCGTTGTTGTCGGGGGGATGCGCGAGAGGGGAAGAAATTCGGAGAGCGTTATTATTAATCGCGGCTCCAAAGTGGACTGTAAGCGTTCCCGTGTGATCGATCAGATCGACATATATATCCGGGATGTGCGGAAATGCAGTCGCCTCTGCTTTTCCGAGTCCGCTATTCTGTCCTTCCTACGAGAGAGTCAAACACTAATAATAGCGATCACCGGATTAGCGATATAATACATGCGCGTGGACACCAACTGTCGGACGGTACTGTCCGCACATCTATGTGAAACGACGTGTATCATCCGTGCGCGATTACGCTAAGGTAAGAGTTCACATGACCGTAGTGGGTATCCATGAATGAAAGTCGATCGTGTGTACACGTGGGCGCCGCATTCACCCTCCATTCACACGGATTGCCGCGGTCTAAATGCGTGCATGTGTGTGCATGTGTCACCGTACGCGGAAGAGAAAGTAGCAGGGTTTACGGATTAAATATGAAAGGAGAAATTTGTGCGCCGTTACTTCTGTCAGATTAACTTTTCATCGGCGGACGCCAATGTTCGACCACGTAGAGAGCAGCGTGAATTAAAAATATGCCCCAATCAAATAAAGTCCCCGCCTTTCCGTCTAGCCTGTCTTCGGTCGTTACATCTGATATTTTACTCGCGTTAGCTTCAACTTACCATCCGAAATGAAATAACGATTGTGCATTACGACAGGACACGTGTCCTAGTCTCCGCGTCGAAACTCCGATGGCACCGGCGTCGGAGCCTCAATCATATTCTCATTCAGCTTTCGCGCGTGGACTCTCGCAGCGATTATAACGAGACGTGCCTACCGAACCTCGGAGTTAAATTAAGCAAAGACCGAGTAGGGCATTCTCCAGTGGGAGCCGCACAAAAACGAGAGTAAAGTAATAATAGCACAAAAGGTCGTCCGGTGGCCGTTGGCGCGACTGTTCGTTCGTTCGTTCGTCAAAGAATTCAGCCGTGGGTTGCCCACGCGACAATAATAGCATCTGCCCGGGCCGACCATAAGTCACACACGTATGATGCATTACGAGCAAGGTCGCGACACGCGCTCGTGATTATAGCGACAATGTAAAAATTCACACAAGCGAAATAATCGAGTGTACGGCGCAACGGGACACCCTCGGTCTTCATTCATGAGCCACCTTCGCGTATTACGTGGGCGCCCGGGTAACGAGGGACGGCTCTCCGCCATGGTATTTATAACCGCGATGCACGAAGAGAGAGAGAGAGAGAGAGAGAGAATATATGCGTTCGAAGATCAAAGAATAATCTCGTTAAACAAATAGCACTGGAAACTGTTGAAAGATTAACGAGGCGGAGAGCAACGGCTACCTGGTTGGTAGCGTCGGTT